AATGATAATTACAGTTATGATACAATAATATTTACAAAATGTAATTTATCATTATGAAGCACTCAATATTCACTATTTCCTAATAGTTAATTATCTTTTATTTTTATTTTTTTGCTTAATAAATTTTTGTGTACATTCTCAAATTCCTCTTCTTTTAATTTATTTATATTACTTACTATTGTTACTATATTTATTTTGTAAAATAAGAACAATTGATATATTATCAATTAGTTAATTCTATTATTTTTAACTAAAAAATAAACACTTCAATTAGTATTATTTTAAGTTATTTTGTGTATTTCTTTGGTTTTTCTTATGTTCTTAATTTCTTTCTTGACTTATTCTTTTCTTATTATTCCTTGAATAAATATTTTAATATCAATTTTTTACAAATTTATCATTATCATGTCCTTTTTATTATAACATTTCCATGTTATCTATTAAAAGTTTATTTTTATTTTATTAAAACACAATAGGAACTTTATCTTAACGAACCTAAAATGTTTTTTTTTAATTTCAGTATCGTTATTGAGTCTTTTTCAAATTAATTCGTTACCAACCAGTTTCTATTTTCTAAGCATAATCCATATTTCTTTTAAATAAAATAATTCATGGTAGTACTTGTATATTCTTAAATATAGAACAGAATATATTATTTGTTATTTATATTCTTTAACTTAAAAATAAACTTTTAAATTTAGTTAATCAAAAATGTTAAGGCTTGGGCACTCTTTTCAATCAACCAAATAAGTTCATGTGGCCTAAATCAATAACAATTAAAAAGTAAGAAAACAGACAAAAAAAATGTTTATTCTATTTTATTATACCAATGATCATTTTTATAAATTTACTAAAAAGTTTTTATATTAAAATAAATTCAAACCAAACTTTTAAACAACCAAAATGGTTTAAATTTTGTAGTTAATTTCCTAAATAATATTTTTTCTACTCGAACTTATTTAAAAATTAAAAAAAATCAACCAAAAAAATCAAATAATTATGGTTCACATCTCTCAAGATATCTTGGGTACAAACAGACCTTTCTAATATGGTCTTCTCCAAGTAACCACATAACTAAACGTTCAACTCCAAGACCATAACCTCCATGTGGACAAGAACCATACTTTCTTTGTTGAGTATACCAATAATATGGATCTGGATTCAATCCATTTGCTTTATAGGCACCCATAAGTTCATTGTAATCCCAAATTCTCATTGAACCACCAACAATTTCACCTACACCTGGCATTAAAAGATCAACAGACTCAGTTAAATCTGGATGACCTGGAACTTTAGACATATAGAAAGCCTTCATCTTACTTGGGAAGTGAATCATGAAAATTGGGCATCCAATTTCATCAGTCATTTGTCTTTCTGGTTTTTCAGAAATATCTTCACCATATTCGAATGGTTTATCTTTATTAAGAATTCCATGATCATTACAATATTTAATAGCATCAGCGTATGTCATTCTTTTGAATGGTCTAGTTGGAAGTTTTAAGTGTGGATTCATCTTTCTAATCTTATCACCATGAACAGCCATAACATTATCAATAACAGTACAAACAAGATCTTCAAGATGGTTCAAAAGGTCTTCAAATGAAATGAATGGAAGTTCTGCTTCAAGGTGAAGATATTCAGCAAGATGTCTAACGGTTCTTGATTGTTCAGCTCTGTATGATGAAAGCATACAGAATGATTTTCCAAGAGAAGCAATAACAGATTCAAGATATAATTGAGAAGATTGAGTTAAATAAGCTGGTTCATTGAAATATTGAAGTTTAAATAATGTAGAACCACCTTCACATTGAGTCTTAACAATTGTTGGTGGTTGAATTTCAGTAAAATGATTATCGTGATAATATTTTCTAAAGTACCATTGAATTTCAGATCTTAATTGGAGAACTTGTTGGGTGTGTTCAGATCTAATTACAATATGTCTGTTTTGCATTTTTTGTGGAATAGAAGAGTCTTTATTAATAATATTCTCAAGATCAATTGGTGATTCTCCAACAACTTTCCATTCAGTAACTTGCATTTCAAGATTTAATATATCAGCAATTTCAGGTGGATGATTCTTACCAGCATAGGCATTAAGTCTACCTGTAATTTCAAGTGAACATTCACGAGTTAATAATTTAATTTTTTCTGGATCACAAAGCTCTTTACCAAAAATAACACATTGACAATACCCAGAACCATCTCTTAATTCAACGAAAATAAGAGTTTTACGGGCTTTACGAATATGATATGCCCATCCTTTAAAAGTTACAAGTTTACCTTCGAGTCCAGCAGCATCACGAATATTACAAACAATTGGTGTTTCAACAGGTGTTGTAGTAGCTTCAGCCATGTTATTGGTGAATTATTATTCTTATTCTACCCTTTTATAGGGTTTCTATTTAATTTAATCATTTAAAAAACTAATACTACTGTACCAAAAAATTTTTTCTTCATCTTTCTGGTATGTTTCGTGGTGTAAACTCATGTCTACGTCTTTGAAAAAGGGTTTTTTTTATTACTTTAGTTTATATTATTATCTCGGGAATTTTTTAATAAGGGTTTTATTCTTAATTAATTCAATTTTCTGTTATTCATAGAATTCATGAAAAATATCATTGCACTTATACAGTATATTCCATCAATAACAACAAATAAACAAACTTAAGAAATAGAAATATCTAATTTGTTGTATATTACCAATTAATTTATAAATCACAAATTTAATTATTCTTTTAGAAAATGTAATATATGGCAATAAAATTTTATACAAAAATTTTAGTTTGGTGATTTGAATAAAATTAAGAAAATGAAACTTGTTAGTTCTTTTGAAAATCGAACTTCAAAAAAAAGTCAACTTATAAATTTTAATTCTTTGTGAATACTAAAGAAAATGAAATGGATTTATGTAGTAAGTTATTTATTATTTTTCAGTATTGTTATTTCTGGGATTATAGTATTTTGTATTAAACCAGAGTCATCAAATTTTTTAGTTTTATTATTCTTTCCTTCAATCTTATCACTTTTGATTCCTTATATTCATCGACCATTTAAGTTACCAGAACAGTCTTCATCAATGTCTCCTCGAATTGCCTATTCTTTGATTCAATCTTTAAAAACTAAAATTCTTCCTAAACAGGATTTTATCAGACTCACTCAATGGGCTACTAGAACCATGAAAATAAGACCGTCATTAGTTTATATTCCTACACGTCTTCCAACTACTGTAATAGGAGATATTCATGGACAATATGAAGAAGTTATACAAGTATTTTCACAAGGAATAAATAATCGTCAATACTTATTTAATGGAGATTATGTTGATCGAGGTAAACAAGGAATTGAAGTTATTACAGCACTAATGGGAGCACTTTGTTCTTCACCAGAAACAATATTTCTTGCACGTGGTAATCATGAAGACCCTGAACTACATTGGATGTATGGATTCAAAAATGAATGTTTAGGTAAATATGATACTGAAACATATCAAGTTATTTGTGAATTTTTCAAATCACTTCCTTATGCACATGTAATAGGTACTTCTGTTTTTGTTGTTCATGGAGGTATTCCACCACAACCAATTACACTGAATGATATCAATAACTTACCTCGAGGAAATATTTTTATGCAAGATGCCAATATACCAGAGTTAGCAGCAAATTTACTTTGGTCAGACCCTCAAAACAATGAAGGTACTTGTAGTTCTATTCGTGGCATTGGATGTAAATTTGGTCCAGACATTGTTAATCGTTTCTTAAGTGATAATAATTTGTCATTAATTATAAGAAGTCATGAAGTTAAAACTCAAGGATTTGAATATACAGACAACCATAAAGTTCTTACTATATTTAGTGCTAGTCATTATGGAGGTGGAAAAAATAATGCAGCTGTTGCACAAGTTATGTTTACTTCTAACTTTAGGTCACCAAAAGTTGATATTGTTGTATTAGGTCATAGAGTATTGCCAGTAAATTCAGAAACACCCCACCAAGTAATATTAGCAATATTAGCAATTATTTTTATTGTTCTTGTTGATTATTTAATGGTGATGCTTTCATAAATTCATTTTTAATTGTTGAATATTTGCGTTATGATTTTATTTTCAAATATCCCAAAAATATTTTTCTCTTTTGTTTTTAACAACAAACAATAAACTATAATTTATAGTAAATTACTATTATAAATATAATAAAACGTTTATTTTTTCCAAAAATTAAACTCGAAAATTCTAAACTTAAGCCAATGAGCACAAATCCACCTCCTAACGGGTCTATCTCTAGTGGCCCTCAACAAAATACTACTATTCCTGAAAGGAGTGTTCAAGGACAACCTCTCTATCAATCTTATCAAGGACCTAGTCAACCTCCTCAGTATCAAAGTTACGGACAATCACAATATTCAGGAGCACCTCCAATGTTCCAAAGCCATGGAAATTATCCGTCATATCAATCACAACCATCTGTGGGAATTCAACAAAGAGTAGCATCACAACAAAATGTTTATGATATTTCTTATATTCAATCAAATATTGAACAGTATTTACAATTTTATTATACAGACGATGAGATTGTAAGAGAATTAGAAAAAAAAGCAGTTCAACGTGATACAACACTATATATTCTTACTAAACTTAAAGAACAAAATCCTGGTTATTTTAAAGCCTATGAATTTAGATTGGCTTTAAAAAGTCAAATCTCTCGTTATAATGAAATTATACAACTATATCTTGCTACCTCAGCACAACAAGAACAAATCCCAATTCAACCACAACAACCTATAACTCAACAATACCCAAAAGATGTGTACTCTGACTACAATGGCGGAAGTTACATTTCTGGTCCTTATGGAGGTGATCAATCAGTTGGTATGTAAAATTTAATTTTTCATATTTGAATTATTTTTTTTATTTTTTATGAAAAAACAAAAAACCCTTCATTTTTTCTTCTTTTCATTTTAACTATTGTTTATTATAATTTTTTATTATTATGAAAAAAAGTTGTTTTTCTCTTCGTCTCATTAAAAGAACTTTGTTATTACTATTTCATAACCACAAACAATGTTCAATTTCAAACTAGATTCATCCCTTCAACTCCCTCAACAACAGCAAAACACAAACAGTTTATTTGGTAGTTTTGGTTCTACACCAACTATTACTAAAACACAATCTTCAGATACATTACATCCTTTTCAAAATCCTTTTGTTTTTCCTACGAAAAGTTCAAGTATTATTAGTAGTGATAATACAATTAAAGAAAAAGAACAAACTCAAACAAAAGAATTTCAAAGTGAAATAAAACCAAAAATTAAATTAACTAATTATGAATCAGAAGATGACCAACTTATAAGCGATGATGATGACGATTGTAGTACTATTTCAATGAATGATGATAGTTCTACATCAATAAGTGAAATAGAAATAGAAAAAAGAGAAAAGAAAAAAGAGGATAATGTTAGTAATATTAGTATCGATCAATTAATGAAAACTAATATAGGTTCTATGCCACTTCAATTTAACCCTGAACAAACTAATGACTTTAAACCAGAATTCCAAATATTACCACAACACTTTTCAGAACAAAATACTGAAAAACCAACTACTGATGATCAACAAACAAATAGTTTTGTTTTTGTTCTTCCAGAAGGATTTAAAACGAATACAACTTCTTCACAACAACAAAACCCATTCCTTTCACAAACCAGTGGAAGTTTTTCTATTCAACAACAATCAACTCCATTTGGATTTATACAACCAACGACTCAGTTCAATTTTTCAAACATAAATTTAATGACAAGTAATGATAAAAGGAAAGAAGAGATCGATAAAACAGTAAACAACTACCTTGGAAAAAAAATAACACCACTCGATGAAGAAAAAAATAAAGAAATTGTTCAGAAGTTAAAAGAAAAGAATATATCATTAACTATTGAACCAGACTTTATTAAAACTGTAGGAGAAAAATATTATAACATGATAAAAAATGTTAATAGTATTGATGAGTTAAATGCTATTATTAAACCAATGGTAGAAAGTCTTGGAGTTCAATGGGAAGAATTCATTTCATTATTTAAATATAGTACTCCAGAAGATTTATTTGATCTTCTTATACAATCGTTAAATTAAATAACCTCATTGAGTGCTATTAATTGAATTAAAGAATATAATTGGTTTAAAAAAATAAATAGAAAATAGAATTTTTATAACGAAAAAGAACTTTAAAAAGTAAAAAATGAATGTTCAAATTTATAGTGTCATTATTATCAATAAAACTGGTACTCTTCAGTGGATGAGGGATTTTAGTGAAAAACCAACTAAAAGAACTGAAAATGACCCATTATATTTAGCATCATCTTTTCATGGATTTAGTGTAGTTGCAAGTCAAATAAATCCATTGTTAAAAGAGAGTGATGGAATTCAAAAAATACAAACAAGTAATTTTTCGTTACAATGTTTACATACACAAACTGGAGTTGAATTTTTAGTTATAGCTTCACCTCAATCAGCGCCAGTTCTTGGAGAATTTTTGTCACAACTATATATCCTTTATGCGGACTATGTATTAAAAAATCCATTTATTATTTCAGAAATGATTATTAAATCAAAGAAATTTGAAACTAAAGTCAGAGAATTAGTAACTTCATTAAAAGGAACTTCACAATAATAATTCATATTTTTGTTTTAAATGACAAAATAATATTTTGTTATTCTTTTTTACAAGAAAATAAAAAAGAATTTTCTAATAAAGAAAAAAAATGAAGAACTAGAAATAGACTTAATGCTTTCTCAAAGAGTTAAACCGAGTACAAATAATGTGTTTCATTTCTTTGAATACAGACAATTAGAACAATTTCAAAATGGACGATTTGATGGAATTATTAATTTTGGAGATGACAAACTTGCTATTAAAGTAAATCATAATTCATATTCAACTATTAGAATAGAAACCACAAGTACATATTTATATATTCCTGTTTCATTTGAAAGTGTTTATGGTAAAATTGAAGAGTATTGTTATCTTTCTCCTGATCATATTATTTCTGTTGAAACACAAAATAATGATCCGTACACGAATAAATTAGTTATTTATTGGGATGTTGAAAGAAATGGAAAAAGTGAAATAATTGATGTTGGGAATAAAATTATTTCTATCGCAGCACATGATGGTAGAATTGCTGTAAGTGTTGAAAATATTGGGATATTATTATATGAAATAACAGATGTTGTAAGGTTAATTGCTAAAATTCAATGTAAAGGGGGAATAATTAAAATTCATAGAGATTATATTATCAATTATGTTGATCACATTGTTACAATAATGGATATCAGAATTGTTAGTAGAACAGAGTTTTTTGATAATCTTGGAGATCCTATTATTTCTGATACCAAATATAGATGGAATGCTGTTGATATAGATGTTGAAGTATATGGTGAAAAACATATCACTCATGCAATGACATTAATGCAAGAACGTATGATTGGATTAGACACTACGGTATTTATTCCACAAAGAATAGAAGAAAAAGAGGAAGGAGTTAGAGTTGTTCTTGGTTCACAAAACAAACTTGAAGTTTACTACATTTCATATAATAATTCTGATTTAAAAATTACAATGATTTCATCATATAATTTCACACAAACAAAAGATGATAATAAAGGGAAAATAGTTGCTACTCCATGTCATGTTTTAAGACTTCATCAAGAAAATGGAATGAGTGCTATTGATATTTATCCACTTAGGAAATATTTTTCTAATCAATTTGAAGCAGATATGGGAAAGATTAATGAATTTAGAGTTGGAGATTCTACTACAGATCTTCCTTGTATGTCTAAGATTAATCTTCCAGGTATAACTGATTTAGTTGTTGTAAATCATAAAGTAGTTATTGTAAGAAGTATTGGACCAGAAAGAAATGGTATTACAGATCATTCATTCAATGAAGTGTTTATATTAGAACCGTTAGTTGTTCGTCTATGTCAAGAAATTAAAAATGATATGCAAAGAACAATAACTCAGTTAAATAAGAACCAAGACACATGTGCAATTCAAATTGCTATTTCTTATAAAACATATTACGAGTTAAGTGTTATTCTTGAAGCATATATTAGTGATATACATCATTTTATTAGAAGGAAAAACAATAATTGGACTGATTTGTATTGGAGAGATGTTATGAGTGATGAGGCTATAGTTGTTAAAGATACATTAAAACAACTATATTCTATTATTGCAGAAGAGTTATTAGATTCTAAGAAAGGAGAATTAGCAGCGTATTATTTCTCTAAAGCAAATACATCATTTAGTCATGTTGTAGATCGGTTTATTATTTGTGAAGTAAAGAGTTGTATTAATCTTTACTTTGATGAAATATTTTTTAAGGCAAATAAAGAAACAGGAGCAACGTTAATGGCAACAGAATATGATAAAGTTTTTAGATTACTTGAAAATGATCCTGAGAAATTTATTGAAATAACCATTCAACCAGCATTTCAAGATCATGCTAAAGAATTAAATTCATTACTTGAATTAGGAAAACAAAGACAGAAAATTAAAGGAATTATTTCTCAAAAAAGAAAAGGAACTAAAGAACAAGAAGCAGCTTATTATCTTGAAACGTGTTGTGTTTATGCAGAATATATATTGATGTTACATGAACAACCTCAAGAAGCAACTAAAATAGATATCTTTAAAGAATTAAATACTCGAGGAAGTAAATCATATGAGTATGACGTTATTAATAAATATAAATCTATTTTATTTGATACAAGAGGTGGAAAAGTAGTCAAACAACCAATTGTTAATGTTATTGAAAATAATAGACCATTATTATTTATTGCATTAATGGAATCAGATATTGAATTGTCACAAAAATATATTGATTCTCAACCTACTTGTGAAGTAATAAAACTAGCTGCTTATGAACATTTATATAAAGAAAATAAAAGTTATGGAAAACAATTATTAGAAATATATTTAAAATTAATCAATTCAACTTTAGAATACCCAATGCATGAAACATTAGACAAGAAATATAAAGTAATTTTTGAACGTAGTTTAAATGAAATTAATTGTCAAGTACCAGAATGGATTCCAAAAGAATTATTGACAAATATTTTTATAAAAAAAATTATTTCTTTATTAACTCAAGAACATAACCTCCAATGCAATATCAATTCTATTAATCCTCAACTTCAATTTATTGAACGTTATGCTGTTAGGAAAATCAATTGTGGTGAATTCATTAATTTCCTTCATTTACATTATAAAGGTGTAATTCTTGGATATATACGAGAATTATTTAATGACCAACAAGCACTAGAAAAAATTGCAATTGAAGCACTAACTTATGAAGATGATTTGAGGGATACAATCTTCGATTTAATTTCAACTCATTTATCTATCAAATCTTTTTGTTCTATTGCAGCTCATGCACCAACAATAGACTTATCTCCATTCCTCCGTAAATGTATTGGAAATTCATTTTATAATAAACATCTCATTGACCTTTGTGATGCTTTTCCAAAAGAATAATCGAATTTTCTCTTGATTTTTAATTAACACCATTAAAAGATTTAAAAGAACTAGAAATTATAAAAATATTAATTGATTTTCTATTAGTTATTACTTTTATGGATATATGGAACAACAACATTTCTTTTTTCTTTAATTTTGTAAATGAATCATTCAGGATCTTAAAAATTTAGTCTTTGATTCACGCTTGCCAATGAAGAATGTTTTACGACCAATAGCACAACACGTATTCAAGCAAACGTTTGTTTTAAATTCATCCTGAGTATTATATTTTTACCATTCAGTGAAATCACTGTTGAAACTGACGAAGTAAATGAATACATGTTTGAAGAAGACAGTGTGTTTTCAGAAGGGTTTGATGAGAGTGGTTATACATCAGAATTTTCTGATCTTGAATGGGATAGAATTTATGATGACGTTGTTATTCCTCCACGTGACTCAAATCCAATCAAATTAGTTCTTTCAGTACCAAATAGTGTATTTGATGATTGTGAAGAAATTAATCAAAAATTAATGGACTCTAACCTCCATGAAGATGTTTTTGAAATAACTTCAAATGGATTTTTCTTAATCTAAATTTGTTTCAAAAATGAAAGAGAAAGAAGAACAAAACTTAATTGAATAACAACCCTTTTAAAAATATATCTTTTCAATAAAAGAATTAATAATACAAGACTATTCATGCTTGTAAATTAAAAAAAAGAAACAATATGAAATAAAAAAGATTTCATTTGATTTATGGGAAAACTTTGAAGTCAGTTGTACATTGAATTGATGTATCAACACTATCCAATTTAATTTCATTAATTTTTAGACCAGAATATGTTTGGTCAACATCAAATTCAATTTTGACCGGAAACATATCATCTGTTCTAAGATTATTATCATTCAATGTAAATTCCATAGCTCCAGTACTTCCTTGTTCTACATTTCCGATTATCCATTCAAGACCATCTTCTGTATTGTATGTTCCTTCACAACTATCAACAATAACATTTTCTTTAACAGGAACAATAATACGAAGATTGTTTAATTGTTTTTTTGTTTCATAAGAGATTGTCATGCTAAGGTGGTCCTCTTCTTCTGATGGCCAACAAGTAACACTGATTGGTAATGACTCATTGTCTGTAGAAGTATAACTCCATTTGATAAGAAGAGATGGTGTTGATCCGATGGCATATCCTTTAGCATTAGTCTTTGGAATTAATATATGATCTTTATTAAAAGCAGTAGTATCCATTTGAGGATGTAATTGTGTTTTTAATGGTAATTCATAATGATTAATTGTAATAGGGGTATGTGTTAAAGAAGCATCAGCAACAGAAACGCTCAATGAACCAGCTAAGCTTAATGAACAAGTAGAATTTTCAGAGTACATTGAACATGAAACATTTTCAATTAATTTAATAATCATATTTTCAGTCATCAATTTCTTTTCTTTAATAACTTTCTTTTCTTGATTTGGTTGTTGTTGTTCTTCTTCTTGACTAGCAGAATTGTCTTCGTTATTAAGAACATTTTTTTCTTCTTCTTCATCAAATAAAATTTTCTTTTGTTTACCAAGAGTGATACCTCCTTTCTTCATTTTTATTGTTTCTTTCTTTTTCTCTTTTTCAATACGTCTTCTTTCTTCTTCTTCTTGCATTTTAATCATTTCTTCTTGTTGAATTCGTTGAATTTCTTGATATTTTTCATCGATAGCTCTTTGCTCTTTTCCTTTTTGTTTTTCCATTTTTTCTCTTGACTTTTTTTCTGCTGATAACTCTGAAGCCTTTTGTTGAGCAAGTTTTTTAGCATCATTTTTCTTTTGTTTAAGTTCAAGGAAATAAAGTTCTTCTTCTTGACTTTGCATAGCTAAGTTTTGTTCAACATCAGATGAAGTTAATTTTTCACATGTTCCATCAAAGTTACAAAATTCAGAAATGATGTCAGTAATCACAAAAACATCTGAACATATTTTTGCCTCTGTTATACCATCAAGTCGTTGTGATAATACAGAAACAATGCATTGAAGAATTTGAGTATCTTCAACAATATTAGAATTAATTGAAGTAATTAATACAACATAAATATCGTCTACAGGTTGGTATATATATTTAATCTTTTCTAATTGAATAAAAGTAACTTGACTATCTTTTTCTAATCGTGAGAACTGAGCAAGTATTGATGAAAAATTCTTTAATTTATAATTTTGTATTGCTGTTAAAATATTACCTCCACGTGATATTAGTGCAACTGAGTAAATAGTCTAATTGTTAGTAAATATAATTAAAATGAAACAATTTAATAGTGATGAACCAAACCATTGTTCTTTTCTTTTTTTCTTTTTTTTTAGTTCTGTTCTTTTTTTTTTGTGAAAGGAGAGGTCTGAGTTAATAAAACAATTAATAACAAATTATATTCCATTTTGCAAAAATTAATTAGAAAAACATAAAAATTTAAAACAAAGAGTAATAATTGAAAACTGAATATTATTTTTATTAATCATCTGTTCATGATTCATGAAATTATCTTCTTCTTAGTTAGTTATACGGTTTGCCAAAGCATCAACATATCAATTTGTGGAGATGGAGTTGTAGATGTTTTTGACGAAGAATGTGATTCCACAGAACACTGTACAAATTGTTACTGTGATAATGGATATGAAAGTGTTAATAATACTTGTATTCCTAAATGTGATATTGAAGGCTGTATTAATGGGTGTATTAGTCCAAATGAATGTGCTAGCTGTATTGAACCTGCATATCAATGGGATTGTCATAATTGTGGAAAAGGATATCATATGGAAGGTTTTATGAATTGTGTTCCATACAATGTGAGTGATGTTTATGGTTGTGATAAAATGTTAAAAGATACTTCATTAAGTACTGTTAAAATAATTCAATTGGATTCTTCACTATTAAATAATGCTCAAGAATACACATTATATTTAAAAGATTTTAGACTAACTGTTGGTCATTGTAATTCTGTGTTTGATCCAAGTTCTCCTTATGTTAAAGGGATTTGGATTGAACTTAATGTTATTGATGAAGGGTATTATATTATTGAAACTGAAAAAGAATATTCTAAAACATTGATTGAATATATCAATGCCCAACAATTTCGTTATGGGTTTGATTCAATTATAACTGTACAAAATGAATGCTTTAAAACAGAAAAAATTGGATTTGCAACTTGTCTTGGTAAAAACAATGATTTAAATGATTATATATTATCAGCTTCATTCCTTTCTTATTTTCAAGTAAGAAAATATTACCTTCATGTGTTTGGTCATTATGGAATTGTACCTACAAAAGATTTAAAGTTATATGTTAGAAAAATTAATCACCCTTGCACAGAAAGATATGTTCGACTTTTATGGAGTGACATGATATCATCAACATTTGTTGCAGTGGTTAATACTGTAGACTCATTAACAAGCTTATCACCATGTTCTCGTCAACTACAACCTGGGACTTGGTTTTTTCTTAAAGGTGCTGATGAAACAATTATGATATCTGCTTGTAACAATTCAGTTCTTTATGACACTTATATCCATCTTATACAAGTCCCAAAAATAAATGATGATTTTACTAATGTTAGTTGTAGTGAAAACGATAGTGTTTGTGTTGGTTATAGTGATAGAGGTTGTGGAGTTGCAGCAAAATTAATGCACAAATTAAATTCATTACATGATTATTTCATCTTTGTTTCAGCAACAGAAAAGACTCAATTAAATGTCGAGTTTTCTACAGCTTGTCCATATAATTGTTTAAATGGGGTATGCTCTGTGTCTAAAGGAGGATGTATTTGTAATGAAGGGTATATTGAGAGAAATAATGGATGTACAAAATGTGGAAATGGTGTTATTGATGAAAACGAAGAATGTGATCCATCTAATAAAACTGTTGTTGAATATTACTGTTCTGAAGAAACATGTATGTGTTCCTTTGGATATGTACCTGTTACTATTGATGGGATTACAAAATGTGCAATTTCAACATGTGGAAATAATGAAATAGATGATTATGAAGAATGTGATGGTGGAAGAGGGTGTGACCATTGTCATTGTATTGGCGATTATTATCCTTATGCTAAACCACGTAAAGATTGTATCCTACCTTCATGTGGTAATGGAAGAATTGATTCAGGAGAAGAGTGTGATGGAGGAAAAGGATGTATTGAATGTGAATGTCAACCAGGATGGTACCCAAAACATAGTTCTGATTGTAGAACATATTCTACAAAGCTGTTGGTATTAGCGATATTTCTTCCTGGGTTAGGAATATATATATTCTTTGTTTTGGTCTTATCAATTATAAATGCTATCAAATATACTCTCTTGATAGAAAAGATTAAATTTGAATTAAATCACCAAAACATTATTTGTGGTGATGCTATAATTCCATTCGACCCTTCTTACTGTTATGAAATACCTGTTCTAAATGAATACTTTAAAATTCATCCACAATCTATTAATTTTATGAATGACAAAACAGATATAGATGTTGGTGTTGTTGCTGAATCAACTTGTGTTATAACTAATTTTTCAAATGAAACAATGAACTTTATCTTTCATGGCAAAAAAGATTTGAAACATGAATTAGTTTTTACACCATGTAGAGGTATCCTTAGAAAGGGTCAAGACAAAGAAATTAAAATACAATTATTGATGCATTGTACTACAATTATTAATGAAGGAATTAATGTCACTGTTGGATTTTCTCATTTTAAAAAGTTAATGAATGAATACCAACATCAACACAATCTAAATGGAATAAAACTAGATAGATCAAATAAATCTCAACGTTCATTTAGGTCATCATTTTCTAGTGTATCAAATCAAAACTCAACCTCATCAGATGAAGTCCCTTTAAAACCATCAAAAGCAAAACAATTTTTTGTAACTTTAACTTTAGAAGCTCAAAGTAATTTATCATATAAATTAGATATTAGTGATATTACTACCTATCAACCTCCAATAGGTGAAGGAACATTTGGCATTGTTTATAAAGGACATTGGAGAAATCTTGATGTTGCTGTAAAGTGTGTTAAAACTGATGTTGTATCTATTACAGATCTCATACAACCTTTTACTGAAGAAGTTAAATTATTAGAAAAATTACGTTCTCCATGCATAGTTTCATTTATGGGATATTGTATTGATGAAGAAACAATATGTTTAGTATTAGAATATTGTCCACTTGGTTCATTGAAAAAATACCTTCAATCAATGCCAACTTCAACTCTTCTTAAACTACGTTTTTGTCAAGATATTTCTCGTGGAATGTTATATCTCCATGAAAATAATATTATTCATAGAGATCTCAAGACTGACAATGTGTTAGTTTCAAGTGATAATCCTTATGATGTTGTTGTATGTAAAGTTAGTGATTTTGGAACTTCAAAGTGTTTCATTGAACAATCAAATTTAAAAGAAAAAAAAGATGTTGGAACGCCAATGTATATGGCTCCAGAAATCCATTCAGAAGGAATACTCAAACTTAAATCAGATGTATTTTCATTTGCAATTTGTATGTTAGAAATATGGTTAGGAACATCTCCATATAATAGTGATCTATTTCCTAGTGCAGATTCAATTTTTAATTTTGTTTGTGAAGGGAAAAGACTTCATATTCCTAAACAATGTTTATATCATGATATGATAAAGAAATGTTGGAAAGGAACTGTTGATTCTCGACCCTCTTTTAAAGACATCGAAGAATACTTTGAAGAATTAGTGAAGAATACTCGAGAACACAATGAAACATCAACCTTAATAAAAACAATAAAATAAAAGAATAAAGTCATGACATATAAATTTACAATAATTATTTTGATAAATTAGTAAAAGTCTGAATTCTAAACATTGTTTAATATGATTTGTAAAGTTAAAAAGTAATTTCCCTTTAAATTACTTTTAGTTTCATACAGAGTAAATGATTTGAGTAATGTATTTATTAAGAATCAAGATAATAGAATAAAGATACACCGAAATTATTATTTAAATCTTCTTAACGAAAAATTTAATTTAAGTCTTTAAAGAATAATAAAATTATAAAATTTATACAAAAATAAAAATAAACTTGATTATTTATTATAAGATAATAAATCTTTAATTTCTATTATTCTAGTCTTAATAATATATTGTTTGAGAAAAAAAAAACATCTAATTTACTTCATTCATTTAAAAAGTTATAATTGATTAATAATTTTCATAACCATCTATTGATAAAAGAAATTTACTTCATTGTTTAAAATTCTTTACTTCTTTAAATATATAATTTCATTAATAAAACAACTACTAAAAATGTGTAAAAACAAGGTTGATAATAGTTCAGCACTAAATTACATTGTAGAATATTCTGGTGGTAAAATAGAACTAATATTTAAACCAGAAGATAAAGTATCATGTCTTAATGGAAAAACAGTTCTTTCTCCTTTTTTGTTTTGCAACAAATAATTTAATTTAACTTGTAAAGATGAAATGTCATTCTTTAAACTATCAACTTGATACGTTAAAATATTTTTTTCTCCCTCTAGTTTATAAATAACTCCTTTCATTTTAGCAAGTTCAACCTCACTATCTTCTTTATTTATTTTTTCTTTAAAAAGCTGTTTTTTTAAATTTTCTATTTCTTTGGTGTACTGACATTTTTCTTCATTTAGACGTTCAATTGTTGTCTTTAACTCTTTTTTTTCATTTTCTATTCTTTCACCCCTTTCTAGAGCAAGTTTCATTTGAATAAATAGATCAACACTAATATTAACAACTTCTTGCATGGATAAAATAATCTTTTTTGAGTTTTTTATAGAATAAATTAATTTATTTAATATTTTTATTATAAATAAAACTATTAATTTTTAATTAAAAGTATCATTTAAATAAGACGTTAAAAAACTATGTCGTTTTTACATCTTTTCTAATGGCTCTAATCCAAGGAGTCTTAAACCATTTCCTAAAACAATTCTTGCACAATAGAAAAGGAATAATCGAGCTTTAGCTATTTCTGGCTCACTTCCTTTAACCCTAAGAGTAGAGAATGCTGAAGCAATGACATGAGATAATTCAAATAAATAAGAAACAAGTGTATTTGGTTCAAGATTACGATAAGTATTCATAATAACATCACCAAACTTAGCAATATTCATTATAAGATTCTCTGCTTCTTTTTCTGTTAATAATGAGAAATTAACTTCTGAAGCTTTTGGAATTTCAATACCTGATTTTCTTTCAACGCCACAACATCGTGCATGAGCATATTGTAAATAAGGTCCAGTATATCCTTCAAATGATGTCATTCTTTCTCTATTATATTCATAATCTTTAATTCTTTTAGCATTAAAGTCTTGAATAAAAACAGCAGAAACTCCAATCTTATCAGCAACTGTTTCACGTTCATTTTCATCAATCTCTGAAATCTTTTCTGGATTCTTTTGCATATTTTCTAACATTGTAGCTTTAGCGTCATCAAGAATATCTTGTAAAAATACAGCAGTACCTCTTCTAGTAGACATACCCATAACCATACCAAAACTAATGTGATAACACTCTTTAGCCCAACTATATCCTAATAATTCAAGTATCTTAAATAGTTGTTTAAAATGTAATGTTTGTTGTGTAGCAACAACATAATAACATTTACTAAATGAGTATGTGTTATGTCTCTTAATAGCAGAAGCAATATCACGAGTTAAATAAAGAGTAGACCCATCATCCTTTTTTAATAAAGCAATACCTAATTTATATTTTTCTAAATCAACTATTAAACATCCCTTATCCATTTTAGAAATACCTTTAGCTTCAAGGTCTTTAAGAACTTGATCAACTAATTCCCAATCAGTCTCACTTTCTCCAGTAAAAATATCAAATGAAACATTTAATCTTTCATATGTCTTCTTAAGATCTTCAAGGGCTAATGACCTGAATAACTTCCATTTTACAAGATAAGCCTCATCTCCCATTTCCATATGTTTAAAGAAATCCTTACCTTGAGCCCTAACATTATCATCTTTAGCTTTGTCAGCATTGATCTTAACATAAACATCATATAAATGTCTGATTGGATTTCGTTTTAATTCTTCTTCACTTCCATATTTCTCAAATCCAATAGCAAGAAGACCAAATTGACTTCCCCAATCTCCTAACCAATTCATTGAAATAACATTAAATCCAAGAAGTTTATGAATATTTGCAATAAAATTACCAATGATAGTAGAACGCAAATGTCCTGCATGGAAAGGTTTAGCGATATTAGGAGATGAAAACTCAACAATAACATTTTGTCCTTCTCCTAATGTGCTTCCACCAAACTTCTCTTTTTCTTCAGCAACTTGATTAAGAATCATCTTAGTAAGAGCACTTTTATTTATTGCGAAATTTAAGAATGGACCAGTAACAGTAACACGTGAAATAATATCATTTGGTTTAATTTGTTCAGCCAATTGAGAAGCAACGATATTTGGATTTTTTTCTTCGGTTTTCATTTGTCTAATAATCTTTGCTACAGGAACAGAAAAATCTCCGAGCTCTTTCTTTTTACATAACTCAACTGATCGTTCAGCAAAATCAATTGGAATACCAGCAACACTAGAAATTGTTTCAGCAATTGATTTCTTGAAGGGTGAAAGCATTGAATGATATTATTATTGATTTTGAAAACCCTATTTCTTTTTTAATGGAACATTAATCAAAATAACAAAAATTTGTTCGTTCATATAATTGTATCAGTATAAATAGAAATTAATAAGAACTTCAAAAGAATATTTTTTTTTTCAGATTTTTTAAATGAAGGGAAGTGAAAGATAAAATAGAAACCTGAATAATACAAGAAAAATATCTAAGAAAGAAGGGAAGAAATTATGGAAAAGTTAAATTCAAATTAATTTTCTTCAAGAAGAAAATGGTTCATGAGAACTGTAAAATCTATTGTCTCTTATGGGCTGTTCAAGGATCACTCAAAAACTCTTTTTTACAGTTTTAGAATGGGCAGTACTTATTGCCACAATAGTTTCGATTATTTTGATTATAACATCTGTTATTTCCTTTGTTCTTATTCCTCCTATGGGAAAAACAGATATGGAAACAGTTACAACTGATATTATTAAAAATGGAACACAACGAGTTGTCGAAGTTATTAATCAACACACATCATCTCATTCTAAACCAGTTAAATCATCATTTGTATTAAGTAATCTTCCACCAGTAAAATTCCAAGGAAAAAGATCAACGTGTTGGGCTTTTAGCAGTATTTTCCAATTGGAATATGCTTATAATAAGAATTTATCTAATAAATATATTTCATTAAATGAACAAGCTTATGCTATTGATGCAGTTGAGGCATGTAAGGCTGATGATTATAAAGGATGTCCAAAAAAGAGATTCGACTATAGTACAAATACAGGATATCCACAATTTTTATGGAGATACTCATCTCTTTCAAATAAAGTTCTTCCAGAATCTATTTGTGAATACCAAACAAATAAAGATAACGAATGGAAATGTGATGGAAAAGAACAAGCACAAAAAACAAATGCATTAAAATTTGATGTTAAATCAATTGCTACTTTTAGAACAATTGAAGAATTAAAAGAAGCTGTCAAACAAGGACCAGTTTCTCTTGTATTAGTTTTAGTTCAAGGACAATATATTATTCAAGTCGATAATAAAGATAATATTCTTGGTAAGATTCCAGGTGCTGAAATTAAAGAATGTCCAGAAAATTCAAATCTTTGTGTTTATATTCCATCTGAACGAATTACTAATGATGGAGAATACATTATTCCTGAAAGAGCAAATAACAGATATGGATATCATGTTGTTACTATTGTTGGGTATAATGATAATTATATTAGTAAAGATAATACTCGTGGAGCATTCATTATTAGAGATTCTACTGATGACACTCTTGTTTATGGTAGTCATTCATATCAATATCTCAAAGGAGAACATAGTGAATGGGATGAACGTACTCTTTGTGCTAATGTTTATAATCCACTTGGATGGGATTCTTGTGTCTATATGAATCCAGGACCAACTGGAGATTCTAAAGTTGTTAAATACGATTTAAAAGCAACTTGTTTAAATGAAAAGTATATCAAAGAGAATGTATTAAATACAAGAAAACCAACTGAATTTAAATGTATTAATAGTGATTTGTGTGATACTACTAAACGATATTTCATTTCATCAACTTCTAGGTCTCAATATTCATCATATCTCTTTACTATTACATTCTTAGAAGTTAATCCAAATAATACTGATGAACAAAAAGAAATTACGTTTACTGATTTCCCATTAGATTCTTATAATAAATTCATTCAACCAATTGACTCACAAATTGAATTAATCCAAACAAATACTACATTTTGTGGATATCGCTCTCTTCCTTATACTGTTCTTGATAAAATTTCTATGGCTAAGACTCAAGACAGTTATTATGGTGTTCAATTCAATATTGAGTGGGACAAACAATCATATTCTAACAATGGTGAATTCGATTATTCACAAATACTTAAAAGTATTCATGAATTCCCAGAATACAAAGGGTTCCTTGGACCAGAGCCATACCAAGTACGATATGAAGACTAAAATTTCATTTATCTTGATTAAATTGAAGAAAAAATAAAGAATTGTGTTTTTTATCGGTCTTTTTTTTGGAGTGTTTATTATTATTATTATAAACTACTTTTTATCGTTATATTTTTATTAATTACAAAAACCTTAAAATAGATCTTCGATAATTAAAAATAAGCAAAAAGTAAAAAAAATTAAAAGAATAAATTAAAGGGTTAGCCAAGAACTATTTTGAGATAAAAAATTAACTTGAAAAAAGGAAAGGTAAAAACGTAAAAAAAAGACAAAAAAAATTTTTAGAACTAAAAATTTTCAGAAATAAGAAATGAGTATTTCTGCAAGTCTTGTGAAAGAACAAGAAGAACTTAAGAAAAAAGTTGACGAGTTAACAAAACAAATTTCATCTATTAAGAAAGAAGCAACTGAAGGAATTGATTTTGATAAAAGAATGATGGACTTGTTAGAAATGAAACAGTACTTAGGAACAATTAAAGATAACTCAGAGTTAAAAAAGATTTATATAACAAGTACAAAAACTAAAAAGGAAAAGAAAGGAAATTATAAAATGACTTTAAGAAGACAAAAAGCTCTTACACTTAAAACAAATGATAACGAACCTATGTATAATGTTATTGAAATTCGTAAACAATTTGCCATCGATAGTGTATCAAGAGAAATTGAGAAGATGGCAAGAGATCAAGTTGTTGACGATCCTAATTTCACTAATTCTGTTGATAAATTAATTCAGTCATTGGCAGAACAACTTGATACAGATTGTAAAACAAATGATGTCAATGATTTATTAAAAACGTTTGACGTTAATTCAGTTGCATTAAGAAAAACTTCAACAATGTTTAAAGTAACTTCAAGGCTATTCTCAATGGAACCAATAGTTGAGGAAGAGACTATTGCTGATGATGCTGAGTATGAACGAATTGCTCTTTGTGAAAAACTTACTTTTACTGATATTATTAAGAAAGTTGCTGATTTTTCTGTATCAATGGAAGATGCTATTTGTTTGAGTGCTGTTATGTTAGGGAAACCACATGATGATTATTCAGGTGATTTTTTTGATGTATGTTCTCAAACAATAGTGAATATTACAGAGTTATCAACTAATGTCATAGCATTATTTGAAAGATTATCAAAGTTGAGAGGAGATGAGGAAGTGAGAAAAAGTTATGAGGTTGAACTAAAAGCTTACATTGATATTGTAGAAGAAATAATTGAACGAGAAAAGGAAAATACTGTAAAAAGGTTGCTTTCAAATAATGAAAAAGCAGAGGAAGTCAAGGTTGAGTTCAGACCAGGTGATTTAGAAGAAATTATAAGAGAAACAGCATTGAAAGTAAAAACAAGTATATCACATGCATTAATGAGTGCATATGCAATGGCACATATGAAACCTAAAGAATATGGAAAGTTAAAAGAAGAGACTGGAGAAAAGAAAAAGAAGAAAGACGAGAAGAAGAGGGAGTTTGTTTTAGATAGATGTTTTTATAAGGAAAAAATGGCGTTAGTAGAGTTAATGAGTCTTGTTTTAAATGTCTATCATGTGATTGAGATATTTAGTGAACAGACACGAGGAATTGTTTGTATTAAACAAAGTGAGACAGAAATTGGTGAATCACAAGATAAAGCAGATATTCAATTAACAAAGAATCATGTAACATCAGGAAATGTGAATGGGTTTATTGAGAGATTAACAACAACAGAAGATAATGATTTTGCAGAGTTGATTGTATCATCATTTGGTTCATTCATGACATCAAAAGAATTTATAAAGAAATTAGTAGAAGCACATCGAACTGGAGATAAAGCTGTAAAGAAGAATGTAATGAAAGTTTTTTCTCTAATAACATATAAGACATTTGCTGATTTAGGAAAAGAGGCAGAGAGTATATTAATTGGATATTTGGAAAATATGAAAGAACCGGAGGCTGTTGAAATGCGAGTTCAATGCAAAAGAAAGGCTAACATTAAAGATTTGAACATAGCAGGGTTATTAATTCCACCAATCAATTTTTATATACCTGATGAACCTATATTCCCAACAGAATTTTTTATTTCATGTGAGGCAAAAGAAATAGCAAGACAACTCACAATGATAGACTATGGAATCTATAAAAAAGTGAAACAGAGTGAATTACTAGAGAATCTACCTAGTGTCATGAAAAGGAATAAAATTTGTAGGTATTCACACGTGATAGAAATGGTAAATAGAATTGATGAGATAGCAAATTGGACAGCAACTACAATATTGATGTTTGCTGATATGAATAATCGAGTAGCTATGATGATGAAATTCATCGAAGTAGCAAATGAGCTTGAATCATTAAATAACTATCATTCATTAGCAGGAATTTGTAAAGGATTTGAGTTAGAAACTGTTCAACGACTTGGTGTAACAGTGAAAAGTGTTGGTTCACATTTGAAACATTTAGCTGACATTTCTAAGAATCTAGGATTTAATTCAAATTCATACAAAGGATATAAGAATGCAGTAGAAAAAATTAAAGATGCATGTGTTCCATTTATGTTTGTTTATCTTGTTAAAGTATAAAATAAGAAAGATAACTCAATAATTTAGATTACCTACAATTAAGGATATTCATGGAGTGTATGAGAAGCAACCATCGAGTGGAAAAATTATTAACACAATCCAAAAGGAACAGATTCTTGAGCTTGCAAGCAAGTTCTTAAAGTATCAAAACTATGAATACGGCTTTACAATTACTGAGCCATTATACACATATTTATTTGATTTATGTTATCTTCCAGTTATTGGAAACCCCGGGGAAGATTCATATCAAAGAAAAATATCATTATTATGTGTTGACGCACCCCAATAATTATTGAATTTATTTTTTATACTAACATAGTTTTTTATCATTTACTTTTGATTTAAGAGTTTTCTATACTTATATGATTCAAATTTTGATTAAATAAAAATGTTAAAATAATCAAGATAAATAACAGTAAGAATAGAAGTATACAAACGAAAGAGAAAGGAATCCATATAATAAAAGTATCAAATATAGCACAAATGTAGTTAGTAAGATTCAAAGGAAGAAAGTAATCACAAGGTATAAGAAATATTTGAAAGAAAAAAAATTCATACATTTCACAGAAACTGAATAAAGTTTTTGAAATACCAAAAGTGGTTATAAAAAGAATGAGATCTATTTAATTTAATAAAAATAAGTGGAAGAAAGATGTTTAGAAATAAAAAAAATTTGGAAGTAACTAATTTTTTTATCTTATTATATTATTATTTTTATTAATCGAATATTCTCTTTTTTATATTTAAATAATTTGTTATTTTTTTTTTATTTTGTTATTTATTATTTTGAATGATAATGAACTATTTCAATTTAACAAATCTATTCACTAAATGTAAAAAGTTTTCTTGGTCTAAAGAGCTAGTTACAAATTAAAGTTAAATTTACTATTCTAATATATTAAAAATAAATTAATGTTTCTTATTTATTTAATCAATCAATCATAATTTATTTAAATATTAAAATGAAAAAAGATGACTCAATTAAGTATTGAAAGTATTATCACTAATATTCAGTATAACACCTGGAAATATATTTAATACTATTAAAAGAGAAGAAATTAGATAAACACTTTAAATGAAAAATAAATAAAGAACTTGATTTAATGAAATTATTAAATAGATGTGTTAACTCTAAATTATCAATTATTATTCATTAATACAAATGATTTGTTAAATATGAAATGATTTGATTAATAATTAATTTCAATTCTTATTTTACATAATTTAACATTCAAATTATGTAATATACAAAGAATTAATATTAATTATGAATGGAATAGTATTATTTATATTGTTTTATCATTTCTTTATAAATTTATCCGTTCTAAATTAATGTTTAATAATGATAAAAAAAAAATAAACAAAATAATAGAAATCAACAAAGTTATACTCATCTGAATATCTAGAAATAAATAAACAATTCGTATTATTATCATTAAAAGTACTATGATAAAATATATTTATGTTAATAATATTTTTTTATTTATAATAAATTTGTATACTTTGTAAAATATTTGATTAACCATTTCTCTCTGAATATTATAATTTATCTCTGTATTCAATTTCTTAGTAAACAATATTCACAATAAAGAATATACTTTATAATATGATGTTAAATAAAATCCTTTCATCCATCATTAATAAAAGAATTGGTTATGATTATAATGATAAACAAAAAATACTAATAACAATTAATAACTTTGTATAACATATTGATACTTCATGTAATATTACAATACAAAAATTTTTAATGAGTTCGATGTTTCTAAAGATTGATGTAATGATTTGATGAAGATATAGAATTTATGATGAATTTTGTCTATTCATTTGTTAAGATGAAAGGACACGTCTTGTTAATGTTAGTTTTGGTGAAGAATATTATAAATCATAAAATGGAAAAAATTATCAAGATTCATCAAACAATTGTTGATAATGAAAGAAATCTTAATAAGATTATTATTGATAATAATGTTATGAAAAATAATATTGCAAATCTCACTACAATTTCTTTTCCTGTTTATCCACTTTCTTCTCTTATTAATTTGTCGTCTTTGGATATTGAATCTATCACAATTCTCAATAGAGTTAATGACTTTGCTTTAGACTCTCTTAAAAATTTATCTCAGATTGAATATTCATTAAAAGAAAAACAAGAAACACTCAAATCCATTGTTTTTGATAAAGTACACACTCAAAAGTTACAAAGAGATGAATTTGAAAAACAAAAAAGTGAAATTCTCAGTAGAATCCAAAGTAAAAACCAACAAATCCAAAGACTTCAGAAAGAAATTGAGAAGGTGCTCTATGAAATTAACACCAAAAAACAAACTATTCAAACAAAGAACATTCAAATCAATCAACTCAAAACTAAAAAGGAGTGTGAATTCAGAAATTTATTGTGTTCTACTATCCATTTAAATCATAATAAAGAGGCATCTTCTATTCCTCCAAAACCTCCTAAACAAAAACAAAAAAGAACGAGAAAACAAACTGTACTCTTTCCAAACTTGGTGAAGTAATTGAATTAGTGCAATTATATGAACCAGGAATAAGAAGAAATGAATTAACATTGATCCATTAACTTGCACATTTTTTCAACTGGAATTTTTTCCATAATCATCTCAAGAAGATTGTTGATGCCTTTCTCTAGTAAGGCTGAGCACACTTTTCCAGCAGGAGATTCAGAATCTTGAGATTTACAAAGAAAGTTAACTAACTGAGTGATTTTTGCAGCATCATTACCTTTAATTTTTTCCTCTAGTTCTCGAACTAAGTCAAGACACATGAAACAGTTTTCTGGGACAGCATTTACAGCAACAACAATTAAAAAGAGAGCAATAATAACTCCTTTCATTTAAGTTTATAATGATTAATTTTTAGGAGATTTACGTTATTGAAATAGGCAATGCCTATTTATTGTTATTCTTTTTATTTCTTCTCTTTTTTAGTTTTATTATTTTTTAATAACTTTTACAAATAACAAAAATTAAAAAAATGTTATTTTATAGCAACTTTTTGCTCCTATTGTAGTTTTTTATTATTTTACACTTATCTTTATTCTATTCTATAAATTTAGTAGTGTTTTAGATACTTTTTCTTTTGTTAAACCAGTGAGTATTGATAATTCTCTCTTCTTTTTGTCCTTTAATATTTTCTGAATATTAATAAGTATTAATATAGGTCGTCTCAATAACCCAGAAGAACTATTTAAATAGACTTAGATGATTTGATGATAGTAATAGACTTTAAACAATAAAATAATTTGTTTGATGTGTTAAAAATAGAAAATCAATTAGACTCTGTTTTTAGTAAGAGTCAAAAAGGTGAAGAGATATTAATTTGATTTTATACAGCTACACTAGTTTTCTGTTTATTGTGGTAGTTTAAAAAAGTATGCTAATTGATATTTCCTTTAGTCCTTTTATTTTTTTTCATTGTTCTTTAAAAAAAGTGAATAAATCATCAACAATAATCAATAGTATATGCCTATATGAAATGTTTGGTATATATCTTATTTACAATTGGAATTTGATGTTATTTTGCATATTATCTTCTTATTATTAGAAGAACAATATAGTTGTAATATAATATGATAGATGAAAACATTTAGTTTAATCAAAACGTTATTATAGTTATCTTAGTTATGGTAGTTCTTAAGATAAATATTTCTTCTTTAAATTATAGATAATAATTGCTTGGCTATAGTAATAAAGTAATTTTATGGATTGTTTTTTTAATTATAAAGAGATATATAATTATTTCATGTAATTGTTAAATACATGTTTTCATTTGATTCATTTTTTAATTAAACCTTTATTTCTTAAAATTGGTGATAAATTTTTTAAAAAATAAATTCTATTTAAATGAACAAATGTAATATTTCATTAGACAATTAATTGGTGAAGGATTGCATATTGTTTTTTTAATACTCTCTGAAATATTTTTATTTTATTCTTTATATCTTAATTTTATTTAATTTTGATATAACCTTTTTATTTTATTAAAAAAGTAGTACTTTGAAACTAAATTGGATACAACTGTTGAGTTAATCCAAAAAAAAATAGAACTTTGCTTATTCAAAGATATGAGTGGTTTAATCTTTCTAAAGGAACAGAAACCTAAAGACTAATAATTGAAGAATGGTATTATAGCTAAAGTTTCACCTCTTGGCAATTTGGTCATTTTGGTATTTAAAAAATCAATCTAAAAATTAATAGTGAGTAAAACTCAAATCAAGAGATAATATAAATAAATTGACTTCAGAGGAGAAATTGTTATCATCAGAACCATCGAAAAGGGGTTAGTTAAAGAAATAAAATGAATAACAAAAAATAAAAAAATGATATAAAATACCTAAATTTAGGGTAAATAATTAAATAGAATAAAAATGAATAAAAGATCGGGAAGTTAAACAAGAAAAAGCAAACCCCATTAATTATTAAAGAATTAAAAGAAAGCTAGAATGAAAAAATTTAGAAGAAATCATCAAGAATGGATTCTTTACTATTGAACTTGAAAGGATTTGATAATTATCGATCTATAGGTATATAAACTCTCAAATTGCACTAAAAAGGGCTGTAAACACTGGCTTACAATGCAACCCACTATTAGACATGAATGCAATGTTGCAGAACACCCTGCATTCAAATGTTTATATTCTTTTAGAGAAATTAGAAATTATCAAAGTGAACAAGAGAGTGTCTTATTGGCTCTTCTTAATAAATTTTACGATATTACTTTTACTGCTCATAAGAAACAATCACTAGTGACTGTACCATTTTTTAGAATTTTAACTCTTGATGGCCCAGTTGATTCTATTCAATTTAAAGAACTTATCGAAAGAAGAATTACTGAACGACTTAATGCTGAAGTGGCAAATGGTTCGTCTTTAAAAACTGCTTTAAGAAGATGTGAAAATTATAGAATTGTTGATTCTCTACATATTTTGACTGATATCTTAGAAGTTCTTGGTTATAACTTCTCTACACATCTTTCTACTGGAAAAAAAGGTACTTTAAAGGCTGAGTCAATTTGTGGAATAACCTCTTTAACAGGTAATTTCTTATTTAATCAAGAAGGAATATCTCATTTAGGAACTGAAGTAAGCAAATACATTGTTGGTCTTGAATCAATTGATGGCATCTGCACTCTCCACAGAAATGATCCTGTTATCCAAAGTCTTTTACTCCCAAAGTTGAAGTAGATAAGTCTTAATTGTTTATTTTTTGATTGTTTAATTTCTTCATCTTGTTAATAATTTTTTAATCCTTTTTTTCCTTTTTAGATATTTTTTTTCTTTTATTATTTACTTCCTTTGATTAATTTTATACAATTAGTTCTTACACTTTCATCCTTCTTCACTTTTTTTTAACAAGTTTATTATTATATAGTATATATCACTATAAAAAAGGGAGCATTATGTCTTTTTGTTTTAATTGACAATCATTAGATAGATAAAGATATTTTTTTTAATGTCGTCATCATAATTAAAATACTTAGAATTTTTATAACTAAAGTATTTCTTGTTTTTGAAATAATAACTTTATACCATATAAAGCTTTTAGTATTATATTTTTTTAGAAATCTCTATTTTTAGTTAGTGATGTTATTTTTCAATTATAAGGTAAAAAAACAGAAGTACTGCTTATGATACTATATAACTCTTTATGTAATTTTAATTTTGGTGGTATTAAGAAAGTCTATTGAATAAAATGTTATATATTCCTATTTTACTCTTATCCATCAAAAAAATATGAAAAAAACAATTTTTTAAGCAAAAGGGAAAAGGACGATTAAAATTTCTTGGTTAGAAGCATAGGAAGTATCTTAATTAATAACATAAATATCTTAGAATCAAGAAAGAGAACTGTTATTTACTTAACGTAAAACCTGAAATTGTAACACTAACTTTTTTATTTTCCATTACCAAAATCTGTTTCGTTATTGTTATTTTCATAACAATAAAATGAGAAAAGAATAGGTTGTACATAAGTTCTTATAAATTATCAAGATAAATCGTCCTTACTATTATTTTTTTTTTTCAATACTTATATTTTTTTATTCATTTATGAGTCTTTTCATTATAAAATAGTGCCAGTAATAATTAAGAATAATTATAAACAAAGTGTAATATATAAAAAGGGAGTTGTTTTGGTTCTTGATTATTATTAACAATTTCATTTATCTTATTCAGTTTAATGAAATTGAATTATGTCTTTGAGATATGATTCCATGTTTAGATATAATCAACAACTTAATAGGTACTATTATTTGATTTTATAATGTTACAAAGACATAAAAATAATAATCTATTTCTAATTCTTTTAACTTAGACGAAACATAGTAAATATAATTATTCTGTTTTAAATTTGAAAAAATATTTCTAATGAATAAACAGTCGATAGTTTAAATATTTATCAATTGATAACACTAAAAATCAGGAATTCATTAAATAAGAACAAACCACAAATTGTTTTTAAATGATTTTTAAGATTTTTTTTTGAAAAAATTAAACAGTTTATTATCAACAAAAAGTACATTGTTAATATACTTTGAACTATACCTAGAATAAAGAATAAAAAGAAATTACTAGAAACTCTTATTTCCATTCTTGTTAATTTTTTATCTTTCATAAACATGTACAAACTTATTGTATTATATGTAATTGTTATCATAAAAAATGAAGTAAAATTTGTAAATTAATTAATCATGTTTCACTATAAAGTAAACACTCTATTCATAACTGTAGTTGCATTTCTTTAAATTTGAAAAAAAGTATTTAATTAAAGTTTTAAGAAGTACTTCCAGTATATACTAAAACTTAAGAAACTACTCTTTATACGTTTCGTATTTAACCAAACCAGAAAATGTTTGAGAGTTATCTTAGTTTGTTATTATATTTTAATTAGTTATATTCATCAGCCATTCTTAATTCCTTTCTTTACAAAAACAATTTACTTTTTCTCAGAAATTAAATGTAGATTGAATAATCTTCTTAAAGAACTAAGTATTTACCACGAATAATTAGTGTTAAGAAGTTAAGAAAAACAGAGTTCTATAGATAGTGAAAAAGATTTTTAGAAATTAAACACATAAAGGATCTTTCCATCTTTAGTTCTTTCAATATAACTTCTAAAATTGGAATAAAAGAATAAAATGTTTTTTTTAACAAAAAAAAAGATTATTTTTTAGATAGTTAGAATAAATATTATTTGAATAAAATACTTTTTGTGGTCTGAAAAAATTTTTTTATGATTCACAAAGACTAAATAAAAAAATTGATTAATAAAAGAGTCAAGAAAGATAAGATTAAGATTTGGAAAGGTGAACTTTCTTATTATTTTAAATAGAATAAACGAAAGAACTTAAAATACAAAAAACTTTTAATTGAATGTCTTGTTCTTCATTTCAATTACTTTGTGAACATACCCAAATACTTCAACAAAATATACTAAAGGTCATTAACCCAAACAAATACTCTCCAATAGAAGCAATTCAATTAGAAATAGTTTCAATAATATCTTCAATTGTTGATTATCTTAATAACCAAAAACAAACAATTGAAGAAATCATAAAAAAGGTGTGTGAATGCTCACAACCATTAAAAGAAACAATTAAATTAGAGCCTTGTCAAGAACTTTCTTTAATCATTGAAAAACCAAAAGATGGTATTTCTGAATTTGAATTACCAGGACCACTTCCATTACCAAAGGAATTCAATACATTAAATGATAATTTTGGAGAACTTACACCATATTATTCTCACTTAAAAGAGTGGTGTAGGAAGAGTGAAGCACACATTATTTTTGAAAGCAAAGATTTAACTTCAAAAACGTTTTGGCATTTAACCAAAAACTTAAAGAACATGATGATTATAATACAAACAGAAGACAATTATATGTTTGGAAGTTATCACTCTATATTACCTAAAAGTCAAGATGTATGGGTCCAAAATGATCCAAATCATTTTGTATTTACATTAACTAATCCAAACCATGTTAAACCATGTCGATTTGATCCATTACCAACAAACAACAATTTATTATTTATTTATGGTGATAACGACATAGAGAATGTTGTTTGGATTAATTATTGTTATTGGATTACTTGTGATAATATTATTTATTTATGGCATCATTTTCCTGATAATTATATAGATACTACAGGATTTGGAGGTGATTTATTTGTTGGTTGTGTGGATTGGGACAATCCAAATGAAATTAAAAAAGTATATATATTAGAATGGATTAACAAAGAATGAATAACTTTATTTTCAATTTAAATTTTTTTAATTTAAAAATTCAGTTAAATGTTTTAATAAATAAGAAGTAGATGGTCTTTTATGGTAATTAAATTCAAGAAGCTCTTTTAATAGATGAATTAATCCAGGTGTTTGTTTTTTTTGAAATACAGGGTCAGTATATTCTCTTATTGAACGAGTTTTTCTTCCAACAAGATGAAGTGCTTGGCATCGGGAGATTTGAATGTGTTCTTTTCTTAAGAAATCTGTTAAAACAACTGTACCTTCTAATTTTATAATTTCTTCAAGAATATCATTTAAACATTCTCCTTCAAATAATGGATAATTTCTAATAATCATTTCAGCTAATACACATCCACATGACCAAATATCTATTGATGGTGTATAATAATGTATATGAAGAAGAAGTTCAGGAGCTTTATAATTTATTGAACCAACATGAATTGAATATTTTGTATTTTGTATATAATAATCAGCAAGTCCAAAATCAATTAATTTAAGAGTCATATTATTATAATTAAACATTATATTACTTGGTTTAATATCTCTGTGCATAATGTTTTTTGAATGAATATAATTTACTGCTTTAAGTAATTGAACAAATAAGATTTTTACTTCTTTTAATGTTAATTTTTTTGATACTTGATTTAAAGGAGTATTATGAATATATTCCATAATAATACTTTGGTTTTGTTGTTCATTTTCTATTACATCATATAATTTAACAATATTTGGGTGTTGAAGTTGACTAAGAAAATATACTTCTCTCTTTAAAGTACACTCACTAAAGCTTGAAAAAATTTTTATGGCACATTCATATCTTTCTTCTATAACCCCTAAAAAAACTTTTCCATAAGAACCATTTCCAATCCATCGAATAATCTGATATTTGTTTTGATTCCCACTTTCTATTTTAAATGCTTTATCATCCCAAACACCATACATTTTCTTTTTATGTTTTCTTTTTAAAAAGAATAGTATAGAAGCTTTTTTTGTCTTAAAAAGAACTTTATAAACTAAAAGTATATTTCAGATGTCTGCTATCATTACTCTTTCTAGAAATGAAACAATTTATCAGCAATTACTTACCCATTGCCATAACGAATTCCAAAAAACTTACTGGAAATGGTTTATTTCTTTAAGTGAAATTCCACGTCCAAGTTATCATTGTGAATTATTCTCTGAATGGGTATTAAAACAAGCTAACAGATTAAGTCTTCAAGCAAAACGTGATAGTTTTAATAATGTTTGTGTTCATATACCTGGATCGAAATCACATGAAAATGCACCACATGTTATTCTTCAAGCTCATATGGATATGGTTGCTAGTGTTATTGATGGAAAGGATTTTGATTTTGAACATACCCCAATTACTTTACAAGTTCATGACACTTATATTTCTGCTGATGGAACAACACTTGGATCAGATGATGGTGCTGGTTTAGCTTGTTTACTTGCGCTTATGGAACTTCATCAAAAATTTGAACATGCTCCTATAGAGGCATTGTTTACTGTTGATGAAGAACCTGGATTACTTGGTGCAATGGAGTTAAAAGAAGGAGAGTTATTTGACTCTGCAAAGTATTTGATTAATGTTGATTCAGAAGACTGGGGAGAAGTTTGCATTTCTTCTGCTGGTTGTGCTCAAAGAAATATGACATTCCCAATTAAAAGAGAAGAAGTTTGTGGAGATATGGTTACTATTACATTAGAAGGATTTAAAGGAGGGCATAGTGGTGCAGAAATTCAACACCAAAGAGCTAATGCATTAAAATGGATTATTCAACTACTTCTTCATGATTGTCCAATCACTGAAAAAATCAGAATTGTTGATTTTAAGGCAGGTCATGTAGACAACGCTATTCCAACAAAAGCGTTTATGTCTGTTATTGTTCCTGATGGTGAACTACTTGAAAAGAAAATAAAAAAGTATCATCAAGCTTATTCTGTTTTATACAACGGTGCTGAAGAAGGCAATCCTTCAATTACTACCTCAATTAAAAAGGGAGTTACTAGAAGTGCTGTCCCAATTACAGCATCAGCTAATATATTATTCTTATTAAATTACTTGACTCATGGTGTTGTTAGATTTTCACCTGATGTTCCAGATTTAGTAGAAACTTCCAATTCTCTTTCTATTGCTAAATTAGATGAAAAAGAACTATTTGTTTGCACATTAGCTCGAAGTTCTGATAATAATTATTTAAAAGATATTACTGAGTTTATTGAAGAGATAGCAAAACTTCATGGAGGTTCTATTTCTATTCCAACTCCAGATGTTGGAGGTTGGCCAGCTAAACCACAATGTCATTTAGTAGATGAAATATTAAGAGTTTATAAAAAATTATATAATGAAGAAATGAAAGTTGTTGCTATTCATGCAGGATTAGAGAATAGTATTATTTTAAATCAATACCCCTCATTTGATCTTGAGTCTGTTAGTATTGGACCAACTTGTAAGAACGTTCATACTCCAGACGAAACTATTGACATCGAATCAGGAAATAAGTTATTGGATCTTATTTGCACTTTACTCTCTGAACTAGTATAACTTAACCACTATTCATTCACTAATTAAATTCAATTAGGTTTTAATAGTTTTTCTGTTTTATGAAATATAGTATTAAATAATAAAATTAATTCATTAAATGTACAGATTGAAGTACACAAAATATAAAGCAAGTTCATTAAATAAATAATCAAACCAAGATATGGTACTGTTCCAATAACTTTAAATAATACTTTGCTAATTCCAGTTGGAACACAATTTTGATCTGTAGATTCCATAGTACAATGATTACCATTATTGTCATATTGAGAACCATATAATAAAATGTTAGGACAAAGGGTAATAATTTGAGTGAGAAATCCTATTGCTGAAAGACAAATGAATGCAACAATCAAAACAACAGATCCAGGAAGTGTTTTCTTTCTTCTAAGAACAAACTTGGAAATTCCTGGAAATTTTGTTGTTAAACGACGACTTCCTAGAAACACAGTAAATGAACAATGGAAAGTCAATAACAACATAAAAAGAAACCTAATAAAAAACATGTTTTGATGTTTTAATGAGATGAGAATGTATTCAATTGGTAATATTTCTCCCGTTCTTTGTGGTATAAATCCACATCTCCACCCACAATCTGAATATAAGATAGAACCATACAAACTTACAGTAATACAAATTACATAAGACAGAGAAAAAAGAATCGCTAAAATACCACCTGAAATTCTAAAAATTATTGAGAGAGTTGAAGTTAATTTTTTAGGAGAGTGTAATGTTTCATATCTTTTTTGAAATATTTCTAACTTTATTTTTGTATACTCTGGGTATTGAGTATAACGTTGTTGTAGAGAATTTATTAAATCCGAAAGGAATTGTTTTTCTTTCTCTACATAAGGTAGTTGTTGATTAAAAATGGTTCCTCTTATTGTTTCAACTCCAGTTGAAACTACCCCATAACCACCATAATATATAGTTAACAATCTTCCAAACAATGTCATTGTCATAAATACTGCACAAGCTCCACTTATAATTAATTCAATAATTGAGTTAGAGTTATGAATTAAAAGTTTGTAAAGGTTCTGCTTTGCATCTTTATCAAGATTAACAAAAATAGAATCAAAAGAATATTCATTTTGATCTGATATATTACCATTAATAACCAATGGAATGATAATAAATAAAAGTACTATAAATGAGGTGATTGCCAATGTAACCCTGAAAGCATTTATAACCATTTGTTTATCATTTAATACTACACTTGAAAACGGAATAATAATACAAAAAATTATGGCTAATGTTACTGTTATAGCAATAATAACATAATTTATATCATCTAGATCAGTGAACATTGGCTTTTTTGACGCAAACTCATATATATTTAAAGTAATTAAAATAGAAGTTACAATAACCTGAAGAGGAATCAATAAATAAGACAAATAACTTGTGAATGAAGTATCAAGATAATGATAAGTAAATATGATAAAGACTATCAAAACAAAAGACCCAACACAAATAAGTGAAGTACTCAATTCAAGCGTTTCAGACCCACTCATTCAATAGTATTTTTTAAAAGATCTTTTTTCCAATAAAACAAAGAACTATGAAAAAAAAAGATTCATTTAAAATGAATCAATTATATTTTTATGTAATTTAAAATATTGTTTTACTCTTTATTATCATTTCCAATAGGTGAAAATCCTTCTTTTGATTTATCTCCTTTAACAACATGGAAACTTACTACAATTTGCATTGCAACAAGAAGAAGATAAACAATAGAACTAAATCCAATCATCATTCCACTATATCGTTTAAATGGTGTTCTTAATACATCAACACAGAACGGTAAAGAATTTGAACTTGACTCAGCTGTAGTATTAAGAGTAGTAGTGTTTACTGTTGCTAGACTGAAATCATGGCACTCCCAAACTTCTTCAAATTGAGGAATTTCTTCTTCATCCATCTTAGACCATCCTTTCTTCAAAGTTTTATCAGTATAAACAACACCAGAAAATGAATACAACCCAATAAATGTCACAATAGTAGTTGCAAATATTAATAACACTACAGTCTATTACAAGTTAGTTCTCAAAAAAATTATAAGTCATAAATTTAAACAACAAACCACCATAACAATTGCCTTTCGTTGCAATGCACCTCCAAGAATACCAACTATCCCAGTGATTAATGAAACTGCTCCAGTAATTCCAGTTAGTGTTGTCATGATCATTATATTCCATGGAACAAAAGTATATTTTTGTTTGTAATGAACAATAGCAAAAATAGTAACACCCAGTATAATCAATGAAACAAACTACCAAATAAATTATAATAAAATTGATATAATAACACTATAACACAAACAGTAATAAGTGTTGATAATACAACAATAAAAATACGTGAAATCTTCCACATTTTATTATCTTATTATTTTCTAGTTTCTTTTCTTCTGTTTCAGATTAATCTTATGTAACAAAAATATATTATATTATTTTAAAACTATAAAATTACTATTTTTATATTTTTTCCTTTTCTACTGAATTTTCTTTTAAAGCCTTATTCCTTCACTCAAACAAAACCTTTGAAAAATAATAATTTAAATAACTGGAGATGATTGTGCTGGATTTATTTGTTGTTTGTGTTTTGGTTTGGCAGCTGGTTTTCTTGGAGGAGCACCTAATGGTCTCCCTGGAAGTGATGGTGCAACTCCTGTTGGTCTTGGGGCTAAACCAAGTTTTTGTTCTGCTTGCCTTCGTGGACTTAAAGGAGGGACAGGAGGTGCTGAGGTACTTCCTTGGGTAAGGTCAATAACTTGTTTTTTTCTTCTTGGACTTAGAGGAGGAACAGCAGGTAGAGTATGTATTGTTTCTTGTTGTTCATGAGTTGTTATATGAGAAGAAACATCTTGAGAACATGTTTTATGACCTTCTTGGGATAAGTGATTATCAGTTGTTTGTTCTTTTGTAACAGAAGAAGAGAATTGATGATTATTTTCAATTGAAGATTGTTGTTTAGTACAATGACAAGAATTAGTAGTAACTAAACTTTTTTTGAAAGGAACTGTAGTAATATTTTCATCTTGTAGATTATAAACAAGTGCAACACCAAGACCTTCATCAAAGACCTCATAACCAAATCCTTGTTGTAAACAACTGATTTCAAGAGCTATAGGATTACCAAACATTACAATCAAATCATTATGTTTTTCTACATTAAATCCTTTTACTAGTTCTACAGCGTCTTGAACAATTTCAGTTGTTGGGAACTCAATACTAATAGTCAATTTCACTAAATCAAAATTTGTTGTTTTAACACTAAAGAGAACTTCTCTTGAAGGGGCATCATTCACAATTTTTTGAATTAACAAATTATATCCTTTTATCTTACATTTTTCAAAAAAGTCTTTAACTATATTTGCCCTTTCATGCCCCGAAATTTTAAATCGATACTCTGTTTGCCGTGGTGGTGTAACACCAAGATCTCTACCTATCATCTCAATTTTATTAATACTATTAACACCTAATAACATCATAATTTTATCATTGATCTTTCCTCCATCAGAAACTAATTTAATAACATTTGGAGAATGTTCAGTTAACATAAACCATCCTCCATCCATTCCACCACGTTCAGAAATATTTAGCCATAACCCAAGATTTCTTGGGTCTACTTTAATACCAATATTGTTTAATCGTTCTATTTCTGAAGGTGGTGTTCCAACAGCCCAAAAGGTATCTACAACACTTTGTAACATTGGAACTTGTTCCCCAGCAAATCTAAAATCAATACTATTACAATCAGAACTAATAACAGCAGAGAAATCTATAGACTTAGTATCTTCTGGTAATGCAGTTAATGCACATTCAAGTAATGAAGCAACTTGACCACTATTAAGCCACTTTATTCTATTTTTTAATTTTGTGATATTTTCAATTCCTGTTCCTTCAGTAAATGATTTAGTAAATTTAATTTTTGATGTTTCATCAATAATATTATTGTCAGTCCTCGTTTTTTGTTTAACATTTCCGAGTACTTTGTTTAACCCATTTAAGAATGCTACAAAATCATTTTCAGTGTCAACAGTTAAATGAAAAGTTCGAATACCTTTAACACCTCTAGAATTGATAGAAAACGCTAATTTCTTTGGTCTTTCTGATTCATCCTTAACATCTGTTCCAGGAGGTAAATCAATCCATCCTTTTGCTGTAGTAGAATTTTCACTTTCAAAATACCATAATTTTCTATCTTTTAATACAAAAAATCTTCTTTTCCATGATTTCCATGAACCTCCTTGTTTAGTTCCCCATCCCGTAAACTGAGCCGGTTGGAGTGATGCAACACTAACAGTAATCTTTCTCTCACTCATTTGTTTTTGAATTTTATAGATTTCTCCTTCTTTTTTTGTTTTTTTCTTCAGTTTAATAATTTAACTTTTTCTCCATTTGCCTCTTCATATTTAGACTTTTTGGAATTTTCTTTTCATCATCCTAAATTCTATTCTAGGAATCTCTAAATAATTATTAAAGTAAATTTTTTATTTGTCAAAATTAATAAAAAATAGAAATTAAAAAAATGTTATTTATTCGGACTTGTATTTAAAATATTCAAGATGATCTAACTCTGGATCATCTATTTGTGGGGCAGGAATCAAAAGACAATGCATTGGAGCACCAAAGTCATAACGAAGAAGATCCTTCATTTTACCATAAACAATTTTTTGGTCAGCACAAGCAACACGTGCCATTCCAACAACCATAGTGTCTTCATCATAAACTCCAAGATGTTGTTCTTTTTCTACTTCTAATAATTGTTCAATGCACTGATTAATAGTCATATATCTTGGTGGTTCAAAGATATCTCTTCCTTTAATAATATTTTCTTCTGAACGTTCTTTTACTTTAATATCAAGAAGAACTAATGTATGCATATTATTATCTCGATTTATTTTAATCTTTGGATAATAACTTGATGGTTTCCAATGTTCACTCCAGAAACAAACAGAAACAGTTTGTCCAAATCTATATAATTGAAGTCCACTACAACCAACAGCATTCATAATAGAAGCGTTATGAATAACTTTAACTTCAATTCCCATTTTTTGGCATCTAACAAAAATATCAGAATGAGTGGTTGCTCCATATACATCACCAACAACAAGAAGTGCAACATTTTTTGTTTTAGCTGGTTCAAGGATTTGATCAGCTTCGGTTTCTACTAAATCTCTATCTCCAATAATCACTTTCTTACCATAAAACTCTTCAAGTTTAGCAATATCACATTGAAGAATTGCAGTATAATGTTCTAAAAATACAAGGTCACACGACTTAACTGCTTCAAGTCCTCTTACTGTAATATCTTTCTCATCATAAAGACCAAGCCCAATAATGTATAACATTTACTTTAATTGAAAAGAGTTTTAGGGTTTGTATAAAACCTTCTTTCTTTAAAATATAACAAAAGTGAAAATTATTAATTTTGTTATTGATTAGATATAAACCATTGAATTAAACACAGTGTTGTAAGGATATTCAACGGTTAAAGTTAGCTTGTGTGTTTTAGTGGAGATCCAGAATCAGGTTGTATAGGAATGTACATACTAATTTCCATTTTAGGATAATTTGGTAATATAGATTTTCCAGTAAATGTTGAACAACATGACTTAGCTTGTTCTGAATATTGGAATGAAAGTATCCATCCATGTTCGTCCCTACAGATAAGCGTTAATTAAATATTAAAGAAATAAACAAACAGACTATACGTTGCTTTTAATGGAGAGAATTGATAAAAATAAGATAAAATAACATGACGGGCATGTGTTATTCCAGAATTTTTTACTAAAATAAAATAATTAGAAAGGGTGTTGGTCAATGGGTTATAGATATCATCATCCATAGCGTAGTACTTTGTTAAATTAATTTCTTTTTTGTGATTTAATTTATTTGAGAATCGGGTTCTACAAATTGGACATACACAATCAGCTCCTGATGTTTTTAAGTTATCAATACATTCAGAATGAAAATAGTGGTAACATGGTAATTGAATTGCTAAAATAGAAGGTGTTATAGGTTCTAAACAAATACAACAATTTCCACTTGGGATAGTATTATCAGATTGAAATTGTTGTATTTCTAAATACAACGAAAATAAATTAATTTCTGTTAATTCATCATTGACTAATCTTGAAATTACAGTTTCTAATTGTGTTGGTTCACATCCATTACATTTAATTAACTCAAATTTAATTGAAGAAGGAAGTGGGAACTAAAAGTTAATAATAACATAAAGATGTGATATAATAGTTTAACTAGTAGAATTCAAACTTTATTTTTATTAATTATAAACAATACTTGTATAATTGATTTCCATGTGTTATAAGCATATTTATTATTTTCATATTCTAATTCATAAACAATATTTAATTCTTCTTCGTTATCAAGTTTTAATGAAATATTTTTTGGGTAAATTTGAGTAATGCATTCATATTGAGTATTAATATCTCCCATTCTCTCAACTGAATGAAGTATTTCTGAATGAAGTAAAATAGTTTGAAGTTCTTTGTTTCAATATCAGACGTAATGAAAAATTATAATATTATTATCTTTGATGATAAAAAAGTTAAATAATTTTGAATTCAAAAACTTTACTTTGAGTTTTTTCAAATTTACTATTTAAGGTTTAATTATTCTTGAGATTGTTCTACAAAATTTTGTTATTTATAATTACAAAAAGTCTTCAATATGATTCACAGATACTTTTTAATGAGAAAAAGTGAATCTTGCTATTTTTTATTATATTTTTAGTTATGCAACATAAACTTAATGGTAAAAAGAACGAATTAATTATTTTGTTAATATCA